AAAAAAAAAATTAACACATGGTAATATATTCATACCATATAATTTTATAAGTCCACAATATATGTATTTATAATTTTTGAATAAATTTGGTAAATATTTTTGGATCCAAAAAATAATTTATTATTTTCGGATAATTTTTTCAATTCACTAAGCATATTTAGATCTAAAAAATAATTTATTTTCCCGAATAATATTGCATTAGCAATAAACACAAAAGCAAATAATTTAAAAATTACATACAATTTGAAAAATAATTACAATTTATTAATGGCTATTATTATCGCCTCCGAAGTGTTGCCACAAATGCTCCACCAAGTCGGCTTGGAGTTGATGGCGCTTTGTCCTATTATGAATAAGCTTATTATTTTGGAGGAATATTTCATACTTCGTAGGCAGGAAGAAGTGCCCGAGAAACTTGAGGGTTTTGTATACCATTGTCGGCATTATCGTATTCGAAATCATCATTACCTCCACCATATTTACCTCGTTCATCCTTGACAATCCTATTGTGCAATATGATGCATGCTCTCATTATTTCCCCGAGTTCAAGCAAGTTCCATACGCCTTGGGCCACGGACAATAGAGAATCGAGCTTGGAGCACTCTAAGTGCTCGCTCCACGTCCTTTCTTGCAGCTTCATGATGTTTTGCAAACAATTACCTCTTTGGTCCTTGTGGCATGGGGATGGAATTGACAAGCATTGCCCACTCAGGATGGATACTATCTCTTAGATAATATCCTATATTGTGCTGAGAACCGTTCACTATATATTGGAACTTGGGAGATCGACCTTTCAAAATGTAATTAAAAACCGATTAACGGTCCAACACGTTGATGTCATTGTTAGAACCTGGGACCCCAAAAAATACATGCCAAATCCACAAGTCTGCAGAAGCCACAGCTTCTGCCATGATTGTTGGTTTGACATGATCAGCCTGAACAAACATGCCTTTCCATGCAGCTGGACAGTTTTTCCATTCCCAGTGCATGCAATCAATATCATACGAGGGAAGCCTCGCGCCTCCCCCATTTGGAGTAGGAGCTGGACGTCCTCGGCCGTGGGCCTTCTCAAGTATTCGTCCTTAAAGACCTTTCTCAAGTATTCGTCCTTAAAGACCTCAATCACAGCTCGGACAAATTTCTTTAAGCACTCTATTACAGTACTTTCCCCACTTGGCACATAATCATCCACAGCATCAGCACCCACTCCATAAGCCAACACCCGGTGGCTGCAGTGCATTTTTGCAGCGGGGATGGCCCATTTCTATTACGTATATCAACCCTCATCTGGAAATATGGAGAATGATTTCCAAGTGCATCCACTATGCGAAGAATGCCTTCGCATTCAAAGCCTTCGTGGGAACTGATCGTCCGTGTATACCGGATTGGCGGAGAAGTAGTCATTGACTAGGCGGATGTGTCCTTCTTCACGACCCCTGTCTATGTAAGCTTATCTCCTCCTCCTCCCACCGGAGCAAGAGCTTTGCGATTGTTGTTGCCACTCAGTCAGGAGCTCATATGCCATTTCCATTATGCTGTTGTCAGTGATGCATGACTCTATTAATTCCTCTTCGCTCATGTTCATGTTCTGGTGTTTTCGCTGGCGTTTTGCGTTGACATCAATTTTTCTGGAAGCTTTAGTTTCCCAAATCGGATAAGGTGCGTATTTTTCTGCCAGAAAATTAATATTTAATCCTAAATTTTGCATGTTCGGTTCCTTTTTCTGTATGTAGTTGTGGTGTTGTATAAGTGAAAACCATTCTCGATCAATCTTCTGCTACTACAAATATCACTAATAGTCTCTCTGAAAAAGGATTGGTTTCAACCAATTTCTTAACCTAGTATAGTAGCTGAACCTAAACTAAGAAACGATTGGAAGAAGAAAAATCCTGACTAATCTGAACTATGGCTAATTCTTTCGTCTGTTGAGCCCCCAAAAACTACCTATTAGCACTGAAGTTTAGGAGTGATGTGATGAAGGATATCTTGTCATCATCTTGTAAGCTTTCTGTCTCAAATGAAGTCCATCCCAGCTCACATACTCATCTGGATTGGGACATACTGGCACTCTTAGAGCCCCACAAAATCTGGTGAAACTGAAATTGCAATATCAACCCATCCCACAGAAAGCTTTCTTGACTGAATTAGGATCAAAACCTGTAAAACAAGTTGAAAATAAAACATCATCTTTAGAACAAAATGGCAATATAAAAGGAAAAAAAGAAAAAGAAATAAGGAATTTAGGCTTGAAGAGAAGCTCACAGAATCGATTGTTATTGCCTAGAAGCCGTTGAAATGCCTTGTAATCAGCATATACAATAATCACATTAGGGTGTTGTTTTCTAAGTTGTTTCATGGCTTGATTAAGATGCTTGTTGTGGTACATTGCAAATTTGTTTTAGTCCTTGAGGCAATGGCGTTTGCTATAAGTAGAAGCATCCTTGGTGTAAAAAGTTGTAAGATAGATTGGAAAGTAGCCTATTGGAAAGTTTCCTGGAACAATTACTCGCCTAGCACCATAGCCAATGAACCTCATGGAATCAAAATTATAGAAATGAATGAGTGAGAACTTGATCATATTAATTCTTAACAAGTCAATAATGTATATAAAGAGAATGTTTTAAACTTACAGTGACAGCATCTTTGATGGATAAGACTACTTGAGGCAAGATGCCCTTAACCTCTTCAATGGTTTTGTTTACAAGCAGGGCATGGTTATATGGTCATTCCCACCAATCTCCCCAACCATGAAAAGAGATTTCTTGAGCTTCTCAGAACAATCTTGGTGATGGAAACGCATGCCTGTTGAAGTGAGCAAACATCTAGTCAAGTTGTTTGCTTAGAGAAATATTAGTCCCTCAAGTCAGGACCCCTTTTTCACCCAAAGCTTCTGGGGACAAGGCAGTAGAACCAGCAACTGCAAAATTCATCCTCTGAGCAAATGGGGCATCTCCGTTCAGGTAAGGCAGAAATGGAATTCCAGCAGGTTTCATGAATTAAGAAAAAGGGATTGAATCGCTAGAAATTAAGAAAAAAAAAAAAATGCCGAAGTAATCAATCATGAGGAAGCTATTGGAGCATTGCAGGGGGCCTGGCAAACGGGGAAGAAAGGGTTCTCTCTAATGAGATTGCCAGTGTCAGGTATGGAATCTTCCAGTTGGTACATGGCATCAAACCTGCAACATCGCAGATCTTGTGCACTGCAAGCTAGGAGAAGAAAAGAGCAGGGGACTTGAAGAAGCAGAGCTTTGGCGCAAGCCATTTTTGCTGGACAGTAGGGAAATTTTGGCTACTTGTAATTCTGAAAACGGCATTAGAAAAGGTGGGGTCCCTACGGATGAAGAGCCTGTGTAAGTGAGATATTACTTATCACATCAATTTTTGCCACTTCACTTTTTTCAAAGCTTTTAAGTCATTTTAAAAGTTATATTCAGAATTTTCCTCTAAATAATTTGGAAGTTTGTGAGAAAGCACAACATGTCCCTAATGTTATGGAATTGACGGCTAGAAGTTACTGAAAATAAAATGAATAATCTCATTCATACCAAACAAAAACCATCAAAAGAATGTTATATTGCTTCTGAAAATGGAAGCATAATTATATTTTATGATATTACCTTTTGCTCCAAAAAAAAAAAAAAGTGAAAAGAGAACAATTGAGTGAATTATGAAAGATTTTGTGAAATTTTTAATGGTTTTAAGTATAAGTTAATGGACATCCATTAGAAGTACTAATTAAAATGGGCAAACGAGTTGTAAATTATTAGTTTATCATAAGAGTTAAATTTTATTAGCCAAAGAAGAAAAAAAAATTGATTTTAACTAGTATTTCTTATGAATTTCGTGAATTTTAATTAGGTTGGATATTAAAAATTTAAAAGTATAGTTTTAACATTAAAATTATTAAATTACCATTAACAAATAAACATAAAGAAAAGTTTCAATAAGACTATTTTAGTAATTTTAGTATCAAGACTATATTTTTAATATACAAATTAAATTAAAAACCACTTTTATTTTTAATATTTACAATTTATATAAACTTACAATCAAAAACTTAAAATTACAATTATGCTACAGTGAGCCTTAATTGTCTAAATATTTTATTTGCCACTAATCGTATCTAAAAACAAGAGTTCAGGGGGTATTTTGCCATTAAACAAAATGGAAGGCGTAACAATGACGCCACCGCCAACAATCCAGCACCGGCTTTTCCAATCCTATTTAAGGAGCCGCCAGTCCTTCACTCTTCCCTTCTACTGAAACTCTCACTCTTCTCCTTTCTTCGTCATCAATTCACCATCCGAAACCCTAACGTTCCTGCTCCACAGTCTAGTTTTGGATCTTTCTGTTCCAATGGCAATCACCCGATTGTACCCACCACCCATCAAGATCAAATCTCAGCCGGTTTGCAAGTTTTGGCTAATGGGTCGCTGCAAATATGGCCCCAAGTGTCGGTTTCTGCACCCTGAGGATCAATCTCCGGCGACCATGATCAAGGAAGTCATCCCTTCAATGGCGGCAACAGAGAAAGAACCCCCCAAAAAGGTCACGATTAAGAAGAAAATGCCCCCGACGGTCAAGATTAAGGAACCCCTGAAAGAACCCTACTCGGGGCCTTTCTCCAATCTGACGAATCTTCAAGGGCACAAGAAAGATATTACTGGAATCGTGCTTCCGATAGGTTCCGATAAGCTCTACACAGCCAGTCGCGACGGAACAATGCGCATCTGGAATTGCAACACTGGGGAGTGTGTCGCTGTTTGGAATCTTGGAGGGGAGATCGGTTGCTTGATCAGCGAAGGGACTTGGATTTTCGCCAGCTTGCCGAATTTAATCAAGGCATGGAATGTCGTCGACGGCAAGGAGGAGCCTATTTGTCTGAAACATTCGTTGGGGCAAGTTTACGCCATGGAAGCCGATGGGGATTTACTCTTCTCCGGAACCCAAGAGGGCTCTGTCTTAGCTTGGAGAGGCAGTTTCGAAGCTAATCCGTTCAAATTGGTCGCCTCTCTAAAGGGACATTCAAAGGTGGTGCTCTGTTTAACAACTGGCGCCGGAAGACTCTATTCCGGCTCCATGGATCATACCGTTCGAGTTTGGGATCCGAAGAATTTCGAATGTCTCCATGTATTGAAGGAACACAGAGGGTACGTGACATCTCTTATCTGCTGGCAGTCTTTTCTGTTAACATCTTCACTGGACAAGACGATCAAGGCTTGGGCCCTAAACGACGGAGGCCGTATGGAAGTTATACATTCACGGTCGGAGGAAGACGGCATTGCTGAACTCAAGGGTATGGGGGATTCAGAAGGCCAGCCTGTTCTGTTATGCGCTCTCAAGGACAGCTCTGTTCGTGTGTACCAACTGCCGTCTTTTGCAGAGAAGGGTAGAATATCTTCCAGCAAAGAGGTGAAGGCAATGAAAACAGGGCCTGGAGATCTTTTCTTCACCGGGAATGGGACGGGCACGCTGGCTGTGTGGAAGTGGACGGTGGAGCAGCCTAGCAAGGCGGCTGCCTGATTGATTGAGCAAAATTGAAACTCCCAATTTTGTACTGCAGTAACACCACGTTGTAACCTCTTACAATTGTAAATACTTTCTGTTTTCTTGGAATGCACTGATTATGTTTTCAAATTCATATGAGGTATTATTCACATTTATCTGTTTGTATCCACTCCTGTTATTGATTTTTTTTTTTTTTGGGGGGATAAATCTATTACTGAATTAATCTGCAATTACTCCCTGTTTTTATTGATTTCAATTGGTAGAAAGTGCAAGTTTAGTTCCTCTACTTTCACGTTTGTAGCACATGACCCTTTAGGAAAAATTGATCCTCAAACTGACAAATTACTTTTTATACTTTTTCGCATCTTGACTCTTAACTCTTTACATTAATTTTGTACATTTAAGAAAATGAATTTTATTAAGCATTAACTCTAAGACTTAAATTATGTGTATGACTTACAAAATCACGCTTAAAAATGAGTCTAGTCCTTAAGGGTTAAATCACCCTTTATATAAACCAATGAATAATTAAAATTTTAGGAGAAATAGCTAACACAGTCTTTGCCTAGTGGTCAAATAGGCCCTGTGCTTTCTAAGTCCCAAGTTGATACTGTTTTCAAGATGCAAGTTTTGTCCTCTTTTTATTTCTAGCTTGCATAACTCTTTAGAAAATTCTTATACTATAATAACTATGGTAACAAATTGAACTAAGTCAAGGATCAGCCTCTAGAATCTGGATTGTCATCACATTGAAGTTTAGAAGAGATGTCATCAATGAGGTATGTTGCCATCATCTCGTAAGCTTGCTGTGTCAAATGAACTCCATCCCAGCTAACTTGTTGATCCGGGTTCTAATATACTGGCACGTCTTGAAGTCCACACCTTCTCCTTCGATTGTAGTTGTAATCCTTTCCCATGCCACAAGCAGCTTTTAGAACTAAATCAGTATCGAAACCTGTAAATAAATCAGCAAAAAGAAACACAATCATGACTAGAAAAAAATATTCAAGTAAGAAAAATTTTGAATTTAGTTATGAAGAGAAAACTCATCAAATTATGCAGCATTGTCAAGAAGCCATATGAATGCTGCATTGTAGTCGCCATATACCAAAATCACATTAGGGTGTTCTACTCTAAGTTGTTCAATGGCTTGTTGAAGGTACTTATTGTGATCCATTGATAATTCATTCAAGTACTTAAGACAATGGTATTTGTTGTACGCAGAAGTGTTATTGGTCTGAAAAAGTGTAAGGCAGCTCCGTAAACAACTTATTGGAAAGTTTCTAGGGACAACTACCCAAGAAGCACCATGAACAATGACCCTCTGCAATTGAAAATTGTCAAGTGAGAACTTAAATTGTTCACAAGAGTAAGGGAATATTGGTGAAGGAAATGAACTTACAGTAACATCATCTTTGATAGCGTGGATAACCTCAGGCATAAAGGCCTTGACCTCCTCAAAGGTTTTTCCTTGAAAGAAGGGATGGTTATAGTCATTCCCTTGAATCTCCCCAACCATGAAAAGGGATTTCTTGAGCTTTTTAGAACATTCTGTTTATCAAATTAATGCTCATACTTTTCAGTTACATAATTCATAATTTCTTGAAAGGTACATTTATAATATGTGTCCTTAGGTAAGGATATATTAATTACATTTTCTTTAATTAATTATATTGAAAAATTAAAATATGTAACTCTAATTTTATTCCTATACAATTAAAAGTATGCGTGTAGCATTGAACTATTAACAATAAAAATATAGTAAATTTTATGATTTTCTATATAGGGTAAAAGTAAAAGGTACAATTAAAATACCCTTCACTGGTGCCCTTATCCTTCATCAAAATAATGAAGCGGAACCAAGAGGTGTACTAAGTGATTACCTTGGGGAGAGGAACAGGGGGTATTGAAATGCGCAGACATCCACTCAAGTTGTCTACTGAGGGAAGATTTGGTAGATGGGCTTAGAACCCCTTTTTTGGCCAGCACTTCTGAAGGCAAGGCTGTAGCACCAGCAACTGCGAAATTCACTCCCTGAGTGAATGTTCCGTCTTTCTTCAAGTAGGGCTCTGGAAAATGAATTCCAATTGATTGTTCTGCCATAGTGAAAAAAAGATGATTTACAATCCCATATCAAGAATCCCGCATTAGATTGCAAAACAAGAAATTTCGAATGGGGATAGCCTCCAATATTAGATGTACAGATTTATATTATGTAGTCTGTGTTGGACTGAATTATTGTTAAAATAATATGAAAATAGAAACTTGTCAAATTACTTGGGAGAAAACGAAAAGAAGAAGAAGCCAGTGGTAAAAGCTGACCAAAGTAATCGATCATAAGCAGTCATTGGAGCAGCCTAGCAAGGCGGCTGCCTGATTGATTGAGCAAAATGGAAACTCCCATATTTTTACTATCACCACAGTGTTATAACCTCTTACCATTGTGAATATTCTTCCTGTTTTCTTACGATGTACTGATTATACTTCCAAATTCATATGAGGTATTATTAAGATTTCTCCGTTTGCATCCACTTCTGTTATTGAATTTTTTTTTTTTTGATAAATCTGTTATTGAATGAATCGGCAATTAGACTTCCTGCTTTCATTCATTTCAATCGGTAGAAAGTGCAACTTAGATCCTCTACTTTCACGTTTTTAGCAAATCAACCCTTCTAAAATATGGAACATTGACCCTCAAACTTTTATTATTGTGACAGATCACCTTTTCTATTTATTTTTTACCATTTATAATCAGAGTGCCTTTAAACTTACTTTCAAGTATTTTAAACTAATCATTCCTTAAGTAATTTTAAAGATATGCCCCTTACATCAACTAGAGTGCTGGTTACTAAACCTTAAGATATGAATCTTAAACTTGATTTATAAAATTACACTTATTTATTAATAAATTTAGCATTAAGATTAAATCACCCTTTATACCCATGAATAATAAACTCTTTACAAACAGCCAACGTTGTCTTTGGCTACTGTTAAGGGAGAAAGCCCCTTTGTTTTCTAATAATCTCAAGTTATAATCTTTCCGAGATACAAGTTTTGTTCTCTTTTATTTCTTGCTTTGCATAACTCCTCATAAAATCCTTATACCATAAAACTTATGGCTAAAAAATTGAACAAAGTCACGGATTAGCCTCAAGAATCTGGATTCTCATCGCATTGAAGTTTAGAAGAGATGTCATCGATGAGGTAAATTGCCATCATCTTGTAAGCTTGCTGTGTCAAATGAACTCCATCCCAGCAAACTTGTTGATCTGGGTTCTGACATACTGGCACGTCTGGATGTCCACAACGTCTCTTTCGATCGAAGTTATAATCTCCTCCCACGCCACAACAAGCTTTCTGAACTAAATTAGTATCAAAACCTGTCAATAAATCAGCGAAAGGAAACACATCATGACTAGGAAAAAATGTTCTAGTCGGAAAATTTTTGAATTTAGTTATGAAGAGAAAACTCACCAAATTGTGCAGCGTTGTCAAGAAGCCATATGAATGCTGCATAGTAGTCGGCATATACCAAAATCACAGTTGGGTGTTCTGCTCTAAGTTGTTCAATGGCTTGTTGAAGGTATTTATTGTGATCCATTGAGAATTCATTCAAGTACTTCAGGCAATGGTATTTGTCGTATGCAGAAGTATCGTTGGTCTGAAAAACTGTAAGGTAGCTCGGAAGACAACCTATTGGAAAGTTTCCGGGGACAATTACTCGAGTAGCACCATAACCAATGACCCTCTGCAATTGACAATTGTCAAGTGAGAACTCAAATTGTTCACAAGAGTAAGAGAATGTTGGTGAAGGAAATGAACTTACAGTAACAGCATCTTTGATAGCCTGGATAACCTCAGGCATTAAGGCCTTGGCCTCCTCAAAGGTTTTGCCTTGAAAGAAGGGATAGTTATAGTCATTCCCTCCAATCTCCCCAACCATGAAAAGGGATTTCTTGAGCTTTTCAGAACATTCTGTTTATCAAATTAATGTTCATAAGTTTCAATTATATATAAAATTCATAATTTCCTTAAATGGTATTTCTAACCTGTATTATTAAAGATACAAGAATAGCACTTTTTTATAATTAATTTGTATTAAAAAATTAAAATGTAACTTTAATTTTATCAATAATATAATTAAAAATATGCAGCATGGGTGATAAAAGGTTTTTTCTTTTCTATGCCTTTATTAATTACACCCCTTTCTATTAATTGTCATGGAAAACATATGTTTGACTTCAATTCTAACAACCACTCCATTAAATTCAGATATATGTCATTGATGTCAGAGATGAAATTACCTTTTGTATTTTCCAATGTAATTAACAAAAAAAATATTACAATTAATGCATTCTTATTAATTGCTGTTGGGTAGACAAACTTGCGATAAAACTATATTCCTCCTGTTCCGCTATATTAGGATGTGTTTGGAGTCATGAGTAGGAGTTTTTTCATGTAATCATATAGTATTTTTAAATATATATGGGTTTGATAATTTTTTTTTAAAATTATAAAAAATCATAATAAATTTATAGTAATTTTCTATATAAAATCAAATACCTCACTTTGGAGTTTTTTTTGTTGTGACTTTTACGGATAACATTTAACATTTAATATAATTATAAAATTATCTATTAAAACCTAATTTTGTATAATATAATTACATCATAATTTCTAATATATTAATAATGATAACAAATCTAAAAAACTTAAATTATTAAAGAATAATAAATATGATCTGTTTTAGTAATTATATATCTTGCAATATTTTTTAAATTTTAATTAATAATTAATAAAATATATCATATTTTATCCATAATATTTATAAGAAATAAATAATCAAACTTCCAAATAACTTTCATCAGTTCAGTACATGAAGTGTGGTTGGAAACTTTTTTCATGTAACTGTATAATACTTTTAGATATATATGCGTTTGATAATTTTTTTTTCAGATTGCTTTTCTAAAAACTATAAAAAGTTATAGTAGATCTACAATAATTATATATATAAAACTAGAAACTTCATTTTAGAATTTTTTGATTGAGACTTTTTTGAAAAACACCTAATATTTAATATAATTATAAAATTACTCATTAAAACATAATTTCGTATAATTTAATTACATCATAATTTATAATATTTTAATAATGATAACAAATCTAAAAAAATCTAAATTATTAAAAAATAATAAATATTATTTATTTTAATAATTATATATATCTTATAATATTTTTAAAATTTTAATTAATAATTAATAAAATTTATCATATTTCATCCATGATATTTTTAAGAAATAAATAATCAAACACCAAAATAACTTTTAACTACAGTTATAGAACTCAGTACAAGTACAATTACAATTACAGTCACAACACTTCACAATAATTCTAATCTTACCTTAAGAGTAATTAATTAATTTTCTTAATTCTTCGTGCACTTCTCTCAAACTTCTAATAAATTGAAACAGCGGGGGTAATCAATTTTTGTGATTTTTTATAGAGATTAAATATAAAAATTACAATTAATACGCCCTTTAGTAAGTGTCCTTATCCTTAATTTAAATAATGAAGTGGATCCAAGAGGTATACTTACCTACTTAGTGATTACCTTGGGGAGAGGAATAAGTGGTATTGAAATGAGCGGACATCCACTCAAGCTGTCTGCTGAGGGAAGATATGGTGGTTAGGTTTACAATCCCCTTTTTGGCCAGCACACCTGAAGGCAAGGCCGTAGCACCAGCAACTGCGAAATTCACTCCCTGAGTGAACGTTCCATCTTTGTTTAAGTAGGGGTCCAGAAAAGGAATTCCAGCTGATTTTGCTGTCCAAAATGATGATTCACAACCCCATATCAGTTAAGTTGAATGTACAAAAAGATAATATGAAAACAGAAACTTGGAAAACTACAAGAGAAAAGATAAAAAGAAGAAGAAGCCAGTGGGAAAAAACTGACCAAAGAAATCGATCATAAGCAAGCCATCGGAACATCTACCGGTTGGTTTATGGAAGAAGGTTTGGCCGTATGGAAGGCGGGCAAACACAACAGAAGGATCCTCTCGAATGAGATTTCCAGTGTCCGACATAGAATCTCCTAACTGATACAAGGCATCAAACTCGCAACTCTGGAGATCTTGTGCATTGCATGCAACTAAAAGAAAATAGTAAAGGACAAACAGCAGAGCTTTGGTGCCAGCCATTGGTGATTAACAAAAGAACCTCTGAGTTCTGTGATACTGAGATCAGTATAATTAATGAGACGAGAATCATGCATGAGACATTATTGCCAAATGATACATATATATATTTTACTATATTATTCAAATTTTTAATAGATATCAAATAAATTAATACTCAATGCATTTTTTAAAATCTTTAATAAATACTAAATAAATAATTAATGGACTCTAAAATCTTTAATAAATGCCAAATAGATACCAATAGATCTTCTAAAATTTTCAATAAATTTCTTTAATAATAAAGTTTTTAATAATTCAAACTTAATTATATTTTTAATAATAACTTTTTAGATTCAAAGGTCCAAAATTGATGATAAAAGCTCAATTGTTCAACATAAGAAATAGCCACTCTTCTTTTTGTTAGAATTTCCTTCTCTTATAAGATAAAGCAAAAATAAAAATATCAACATTTAATGTTTTATTAAAATAGAAAATAGATCAACTAAATCAAATTTCCTCTAGTTAAAAAGTGGGGCAATCACATCAATTCTCCATTATTCTAGAGCTAAGAGAGTAAAAATTAAAATGTAAATAATGTAAATAATTTGGAATAAATGTATTTCTTAATACAAATGTAAATGTGTTGAGACGTAGGGAAACGTATTGTTAGAGTTAAGACTAAGCTAAGTGAAAGCAAAAAGGAATGTGTCAACAAATAATCAGCAAATTAAACAAGATTAAGACTAATTAATCAAAATAATTGATTTAATTGAATGATTAATCATGAATTAATTAAAATTAATCAAAGTAATTAGTTAAATTAATTAGCCTTTCATTAGAATAATTAGACTAATCTAAATACCTTAATTAAGGCTAATCAATGTAATCAATTAGTTTTAATTAAAATTAATCAAATCATTTAATCACCATTTAGGGTTTATTCCAATAAAACAAACTGCAACCAGAACAAAGAAACAAACAAATTCAGAACCAATTTTTTTTGCAATTTTAACAGTAGAATAGAAACCAAGCCACCTCAACCCATATCGTTTCCACTCAAGAACAACAGCAACAATTCCAGTAAATAACAAGAAAATGGCGGAGTTTTTGGATAGCCGATCGGAGTCCGATCTGTATACCCCTCCCACGAGATATGCCCAGATCATTCCCTCACTGCTGCCCAAAAATTCCTCTGTTTGAGAGTATACCCAACCGGAGACGGAGCAACAAATGACTGTGTGGCTGCTGTGAGGAGGAGAAGAAGACTGCTGATCTGTCCCACCTTTGTGTTTACCCAAGAAAGGCGATCTGTGCCCGAAGACCAGAAGAAGAACCGCCTGAGGTCCGGTGATGGAGAAGGAAAAAGAAAAGGTTCGGAATAAGAAGAGATTTTTTTTTTTTGGCTATGGGTGATGATATCGATTAGTGGCTGTGAACTTGAGGGCGTCTTGAAGGGTTTTACACAATGTTTTTGAACCCGGCCCGGTGGCTGGCCCGTTTTGACCACCGGGTCCGGGTCAACCGGTTGAACCAGTTCACCGACCGGTTCAACCGGTTAACTAAAAATTTTTTTTTTTGACATTTTTATTGAATTTTATTGTTGTAGGTTAGTTTTCCTCTATTTTTAAGAAATAATCATCATAAGATTCTGATTTCCGTTGCTGCTTCTGTTCGGTGGAGCAGAGAGAAGAAGGGCACCGACAGAGGAGATGAGGAAGAGAAGGAGGGCAGCGATGGAGGAGATG